TATACATATGTATGTATGTATATATACATATGTATGTATGTATACATATATATCTATATATATATGTATATATACATATATATATGTATATATACATATATATATGTATATACATATATATATATATACATATATGTATGTATATATACATATGTATGTATATATACATATGTATGTATGTATACATATATATATATATAAATACATATATATATATATACATATATATATATATATACATATATATATATATGTAAGACTGAGAGAGAGAGAGAGAGGAATAACTTTAGCTAGAAGATACAGAAAATAGCTAGAGCATAAGAATGAAATAAAACAAAGGGTTTACCTTCACATGCATGCATGTCGCATTGTCACATGAATACAAAGCAAGCAAAATCTTGACATGTATAACACGCAGCTCAAATCTAGTACTACGAGGACCTAGTCTGCCAAGAAAAGTTCAGATTTAATGTGCTTAACATCTAGAAACTTTGGGAAGCAATTACTCTCAACCAGTTTCAAAAGTTCAGACTTTATGAATTATCAGACTCTGAAGCTCCTAAGAATCATATTGATTGATTATGTTTATGTAATTGCTAATGAGATAGTATTTTACACACTCTTTCAGCAAGAATCTTGCCTATGGAACACAACTAAAAGCTTCCGGAATTACAAAGTTTACCATGAAAACAAGGGTTATTTTCTACATGATTGTTCAAGATGATGCTATTCTGTACATAGCATTCAGCATGTCTCTATCAAGGTCTTAAATTTCGAATAATACCACCCGGTATGGGCGGTACATACCGGTCCGTCAACAGATCGGTACATGGACTGCCCATTACCAGGTGATATATATATATATATATATATATATATATATATATATATATATATATATATATATATATATATAGGGCGGCATCGCATCGGCGACGTCGCCATTTATAAAAATATTTATATATAAAAAAATCATATATATATATATAGATAAATATTTATATATATATATAAGATTTTGGCGACGTCGCCTCATTTTTTAGCAACGTCGCCCCGTGGCGAGAAGAGAGAAGAAACGTCGCCGAATTTTTATTATATATATATATATATATACCGTTCGGTATACAGTACCGTACCGTACCGAGCAAATGTCGAAATTCTGGTACGATACGATATTTCAATCCTTGGTCTCAATAAAAGATCAGAATAGTTCAACACATGAGCATGTAATCAATATCAAATTATAACAGTCTTTTAGAACAGATATGAATAGAAATATTGATATGCAATAGATACCAACTACAACAGACTCATCAAAGAAAATATGTTGTAACAGTATATAGATAGAAATAGGATTCAAAACAGGTGCAAATGTGCATTTTTCATGTATAGAATATGTTGCAATAAATAATTGATGCCTAATGGACACATCAAAGAAAAATTCTTGGAAGACTTGAGAATCCGAGAAAAAGAACATGAGTAAATGGTTACATTACAAACATAAATACAGAAAAAGGCAAAGCATGCAGATGGCTAGCTAATCATTATGTACATTTAGAGATTTTAATTTGTAGTTTTTGTTCATCCTAGCACCTTTTAATTAATTTTCAGCGATCCATACAGGGTTCCTATGATAGGGATGAGTCTACTATGGTTAATGGACTTCGGTCGCAATATTCGTTAATGAAAAATATAGCATACAGTTATAATAGAATCTCACACAGAGAGCAGAGAACTCAATCAATATCCATATTTGCACCATAGAAATTTTTAATTGTAATTTTCCAAGTATGGTTGTGTTTCTGCAAATCTGGATATCAACTCTCAATGGTGCCTGAAGAGGTAGTGCAAGCCCTATGAAAATTTTAGTAGAAATGATCACAATAGGATATCAATGGTGGACCAAGCGGCGCACTTCAGTGAGGCACCACTTGGGCGCTCTCCTGAACCGAATGCCTCGGGTAAGCGCCCAATTCAAATGAAGCAACCAAACTCGACTTTTAAGTTTGGTTCGGTTCGATATGGGCTAGTTGGTTCAATTTAACCAACTAGATGCTTTCTTACCCGCAAAAGCCACCCCCCCCACCCCTGCGTAACCCCGAGCCATCAACCCTAGTGTAGCTTCTGCCTTCGCCGCCAACACTTTCTGTCGCTGCCTCCATCGCAGACGCAGAAAATCGAGGCTTCCTCTATCGTCGATGGATGGGTCCAACGGTCAAGCCTTCATCCGCAGCTTCCTTCTGCCACTGCTACTTCCATGTGTAGCTCCTACCACCGTCGAGGGAGAGGACTGCAGCTTCCTCCACTACCGATGGACACCTCTTAAGCTTCCTCCGCCCACGACGACGTCATCCGCAGCTTCTGTCGCTACCGCTGTTGTCGTCCCTCGCTGTCAATTCTGCCGTTCGCAGCTTCCATCATGGCCGCTGCTGTCATCCGCCACTATCGCTGCTAGCGTCAGCAGCTTCCGCCACTGTCACCCTGCAGTTTCCTTCGCCGCCACCACTGTCATCCGAAAGTTCTACTGTCGATTACTTTTTCTCCCCCTCTTAATAGTTCTTTTCTCCCCCTTGCTTCACTCAGACATAGTTCTTTTCTCCCACTCTTAATAGTTATTTTCTCCCCATCCGAAAGTTCCAGCACTGTCAGAGCACCTTGCTTAGTTCAGGCGAGCGCCTAGCACCTCGGGTATTTTAGGATTTTGGCGCCTTTTGGTGCGTAGCGCTTTTTAAATCACTGAATCTAGGATAATTCAAATTCAACCTTAAATATTTCATACTATCTTAAATTGTTCTCTCATCTTATGCCCTCCATTGAAGCTGCTTTTAATCATCCATAAAAGAAAATTAGTTCATGTTCCATCTTTTCCAGAAACTACACACACCACATAATCTCATCTTAGCTACACTAAATTTTTGTACACATTATTTACTAACTGTCCAGGTGTCTCTCTATGGACATAGTTTCCATCAAAATTTACGATATTGATTCAAATACAAATATTGATACTCGATATATACACATGAAAATGGCAGACTCTATTTCATAGTGAAATAGAGATCCACTAAATGTAGCACTAGAGAGCCAAAAGATCCTATGGCTTAATCAGAATAAATATTAATTATTAACCCTTAAATTGCCACATACATAGTAGAATAGAGATAGAAATTACTTTAGGAGAAGAGACACAAAAGTAAAGAGAAGAAAAAAATGAATAAGGAAATACACCTGGCATCCAATACACACTTTAGAAATATACCTGGCATGAGACTAGGACTTGTCAAGTAAAACCCTTTTTGCTCGATACCCTTAACTAATTTAGAGTTGCATGAAAGTGTAGCTATTAAGTTTATCTATCTATCAAGTCTACCTCTCTAACTAGAAATAATGGTATCCTATTATGGCATTGGAGGTTCATCTCCCTATTCCAAAACTTTTTGCAAGTTTCTCAGTTTTGGTGGATGCCTATGCCACTTCACAAACACATTTGTAACGACACATGTATCCCTACAAAAATCTTCACGTGGTTAGCCATCAAGAGAAAACAAACTCAAGAGATATTCTTTTCAGAAAAGGCTTCGATGAAATGCGGGTCATGCTCCATGAAACTGACCTAGAGAATATTGGCTGTAGTCTCAATTCTTCTTAAACAGCCTCTCCTCCATCAACATTAACTTATTTTTATGATGAATCCATGTCACAGTAAATATGTATATTTTGACTATGTACTAGCTTATATAAATGTGATGTTAGTTAAATATTAAGAAGAACTGTGACTACTGGTAGGTTTGGATAAAGGTTTGTCACACTACTAATAATGTTGACCAGTCAAAAGATCCGAGAAATGGCAATTTAAATAGTTGACATCATGCAAGATGCTCAAGAGTCTTAATGTTATTTCAGGTCTAATACGAACTATCATGGATCAAAAGTTATAGCAAACAAAGTATCAAATCTTGCAGAAACATTAAAAGAAAGAAAAACTATTTGGTTAAGTGCAAGATCCAGAATTTACGAAAGTAAGGGTAAGGGAAAACATTAGCCAGACTCAGATAGGATCATGCCTCAAGCACAAACAATCAATGGAATGGAAAAAACCACTTTCATTATTTATATAAGTTATTTAGTGCCCTTTCTTTTTAGAAATTTTAGGAACTCTTTGAAGCACATGTTAACACATGCCTAAAATAGGTCTTGCAGACACCAACTCTAATTGGAATGCAAGTAAGAAACCTACTTGGAGAAACACCATAAATAATCAATCAAAAGGCGCATGGAACCACAGATACTTCCGAAGTATTTCCTCATCTAATTCGACATTGATATAACAGAGCTGGCAATGTTAACTTAATACAAATATTGCTAAGATTGTTCCCACATCAGTAATCTTCACAGGCATTTAGTCTCAGCAAAGCATAATACAAATAGGTATAATTTATCCAGTGAGGCACAAAGCTTAGAAGATCAATACCACCAAATATTTACTGACCTTTGCGCCTGGAGCCCATTCCCGATAAGTGATGCCACTAGCACTGGAATTTGGGGAAAAAAACAAACAATCTAGTAATTTAACTATCACAAACAAAATATTTATATATTTCCAGCTGGAAAAAGACCAAATACAAAATATATATTAAGAAAACCAATATATCTATCAGTAAAAATATTTGTACATAAAATACAAAGATGATTCCAGTGAATAATAAGAAATAAACTAATGTCAATCGTACAGGATATTGGACTGCATAAAAAGAAGAGAAAAGGACACATTGGAATCTATTCTGCAAGTTTCTCAATTTCTCTTACAGGCTCCTATTATAGCATAGGCTTTTTGGTTTCAAACCATCATCATTGCACATCAAAGAGTCACAAAAGTCACAAAGGAATAGGTAACATATATTCATGTGCACTTGTGATTAAAGAGAACAAATCAACCACTTTTCTGCTTTCATCATCAAGTTGTTATTCGTTATCAAATCTACTTCTTGTACAAAGCACTTATCAGTCATCAAATGTTGAATACAACAAAAACGAAATTTCTAAAATTGAATAAAATGATACATTATTGAACTATATCTACACATGTCAAACACGGTAAATAGATTTCAAAAAGCTGAATACACACACACACACACACACACACACACATATATATATATATATATATATATATTACATTTATCTCCTAAATCCTAATACCCTAGATCCATCCCAATTTGAATCACTTTACCTAGAATTCTCTACTCAGGGAGTTCCACTCTTAGTCCCAACCTAGTTGGCCTCCATCGCACTAGCAGGCCATTTGGCATCATCTCATTATGTAATAATCATATTCAGTGATTTTTGAAGTTTTAGGTTTAAAGATCACAAACTAACAAAACAAACGAGAAAAGAATGCTGGTACATAGAAGATGACAAGTAGAGAAACAGATATAACTGGGAGGAAGATAAGACCATAAATATGCACCATGCTCCAATATCCTAAATAGAACTTAAGCACAGCAGAGGTAACTGACAAGAAACATAGCTTTCGTAGAAATACATGGAAGCCAGAAGCATACCTTCGCTGAAAGCCAAATTTCTCATATCCACGTGAAAACGCTTCCAGACCACCTTCATACTGATCAATCATCTCGCGCATTTTCTTGTACTGATTATATCTGCAATCAAATATTAGAATATACCCCTGTCTAAACATAAGTTCTTGATACAACAGCAACATAAATAGGCCAGAAGAAAAAGGAAGAAATAAAGTTCTACCACGAAGACATGTAAAAAGGTCTTGCAAAGAAAGAACACCATCGACCACATTTTAGCTGGAAAATTTTGAAACCAGTCTAAGAGTCTAAGAGTGACACATTGATCATATCCATCATTCAATATATGTAGCTTATCAAGCTTTAAGCTATCCAGAATATTTACCACCACTTGTAAATTCAATTCACAATTTATTTAGGCTCTCATTTTGCAGAATACACCCCTGTCTAGATTTAAGTTCTTGATGCAACAGCAACATAAATAGGCAAGAAGAAAAAGGAAGAAATAAAATTCTACCACGAAGACATGTAAAAAGGTCTTGCAAAGAAAGAACATCATCAAGAACATTTTAGCTGGAAAATTTTGAAAGCAGTCTAAGAGTGACATGTCAATCATATACATCATTCAACATATGTAACATATCAAGATTAAGCTATCCAAAAGAACTTGTAAATTCGATTCACAATTTATTTAGGCCCATTTTGCAGAATACCCTAATTATGTTTCTTTTTTCACAAGGATTTAGGACAAAGAAATGATTCTACAAATGTCCAGCAGCAGCTATTCTCTAAGTCTAAGACTGTTTTTCAGGATAAAAGGATGTATCTTCTCATAAATTATACAATGCAGTTGATTTTCTAAAAGTTGTTCCTTAGAGTCATATAAGGAGCTAAAACTTGGGGAAAAAAAAGTGTTTAGCATGTCAACTATACTCATTGAAAATAAATCTCACTTATACGACAAGAAGTGAGATAGGGAAGCCTACCGGTAATCAAGATGTACTCTGTAACCCTTTAAAGATGGGTCAATTTCGTAAATTCTTTGTCCAGTACCAGGTGGAGGAACAAATCTTGGTTTTTCCTCAACATCCTCGACTTCTTCTTTGGCTTGAGAAGAAACTGAGCTTTTGTCACCTTGATTCATACTTTCTTCACCAATGAGTGCAGAGGAGATGGATGTCTGCCCTGCTTCAAGCTCAATGTTGTCCTCAATCTTCACACCACTTGTTTCTTGCAATACCTGCAAAGGACTTATAGACCACATTAATAATCACATATGTTTCCACGCTGCTTAGGCAATTTATGCAATCAAAGGAAAAACCTGTCCCAGACAAATATATATAAAAAAAAACAAGTTAAATTCAGTTGGTCACATTTCAGCCTACAAGTAAATGAGGTACCATAAAAATGGCACCAATTAAAAATACTGAAACCCACAGAAAAAATATGACACGTTAAGAGCTTAGCAAAAGAATTTTTTGTGTGAAAAAAGCTTCATGTTGTCAGCACAGATTAATTTTGTGACCACAACAGACAGAAATAGCAGTACCAGCTGAAGGTCGAAGGTAACCATATTCTGTGATTACCTGCAGATTACATGATGCAGCTTCCTTGTTTGAATTCAGGGTGGTGGAGGATGACAGATCATCACTTTCAGTACCTGGAACTAGCAACTTTCCAGTTGCAGAAGCAACTGTAGATGCAGGGTCAGTATCATAAGAAATTTTAGCAATTACTTTCCCTTGAGAAAGACCACTGATAAGCATCAACAAGAAGGAAACTAACTAGTGCAGGAAACAAAATTCAGCAATTATTTTCCCTTGAGAAGACCACTGATAAACATTAACAAAAATGAAAATAACCAGCGCAGGCAACAAAGGCTGAAATAAGAAGAATCGATGATTCAACAAAATAGATTTTGTCTGGATAAGAAAGATGGATCAATAACAGACTGTGTGACATTCTATGTAAGAATTAGCAAAATCATATAATTTAATTTGAGACTAAAGATTTACAAGAATATAGCTAAAACTGTAGCGTAGCTGCAGTCTCACATAGCTATACAATTTCTCAAAGCACGTAAACAAGAAGCAATCTAAAGCTAACTTTATTATTCTTATGATATTAAAACGGTTCTCTTCATCACATTTTGTGTCATTAATAATTTATGAACTACAACTAAATTTTACAAGCAATAGCCCAAAGAAATCCATACAATGGACTCCAACAAATGAAAACTCTTCAAGACTTCAACATATTATTAATAAATCCCATACGAGGAAGTCATATTCATTTGAAATTTGACACTACACATACATCCAACTGTAACCAATTGGACAACCATATCACAGATGGTCTTATCTTAATTTTCAGCTAAATTGGCTACCATCAATAGCCAGAACAGATGTGGGAGCATTAACATTCCCCTCCTCCAATGCTGGACAGAGGAAGAGGGACAGACAGTACTGTCGAACTTCTAATTCTCATATTGAGGCGTTAGGCCAGAAATGGTAATGCAAAATGGAGCTTTAATATTCTTTTAAATTTCTGTACCACATAATTCCATGGAACCCTCACAATTAACATAAATGACTTAGTCTGATGGTTTGATTTTGGAAGCCATAGCCCATCTAGAAACTGGTATAATTCACTGCAAACGTCTTCTTCTACCGACCCTTCCATCATACAATAAATTGAATTTTTGAAACTCTTTTTCCATAATTTGTGCTTTAGCATCACTATTTCTTCAACCTTTTTCTAGACCATTGTAATAGTTTATGTGCTTCCATCCTCGAGTATCTTTCCACCCAAAATAATCAAAATACACCACATTTACAAAGTTGTAGCCACGCTTACAATTAATATTCCGTCAGTCCTGCAGTGCGCCAATCTATCTTGTCCATTGATAATACAGCATGCTTTCCTACAGCTCAGATACTGTAAAGCAGACATGTCATTTCCCAGTAACTTCTTGCTAGTATGTGTAGAAGCAAAAGAACTGTTTATAACGACTTTGCACCGAGCCAAGATGCGGGAGCTCTCCCAAATGGTAGGATTACAAAACCTTTACGTTCAACAATAATTATTTTGCCTTGAGCGTTGAGAAGGTGATATGTGCGTTGTCTTATGTGCGAGAAGATAGCCACAAAGCTTCCGCAGCCTACTAACATAAATCCGCAGCCCAAGTTTCTAAGAACCTCATTCTTGCAACGAAACCAGTAACAAGAACAAACGTCACGTTCCTCCTGATTCCTGGTTTCTTTGTCTTCATCTACAACTATTAGATGTGACTTTAAAGCCAAAGACAAAAAGTTGAAACAGAAAATGCAAATCCATAACAATGCGTACAGAATTCTCTAAACCCTGTGCGATAAAGAAATACGAGCTAAATGCGATAAAAATCGAGGTTTCAAAAGAAAGAAAAAAAGGACAACCAGAGAGTACAAACGGGAAACTTGGAAAGAACCAGAAGAATGTGGTCGGGTTCTCACGAAGATGCACCCAAAAGTACAGGAAAATGCACGAAAAGGCCAGATCATTCCGGCTTTGATCCGAAAGTGTCGAAAGGAAAACAAAAGATCCTACGACCGTACGAAGATGCGCATACAACCAAGCAAAGCAACAAACAAAAGGAAGAAACCGGAAAATAACTCACCCGGAAACCGCACCTTAATCTGCTTCTTGGATACGGGAGAGAGATTGGCGCCGAACGTCCTCTGGCTCGGGAATCCGGATCGTGTCGATAGCCCCAAGGCCCGCGCGGTGGGGAAACGGATGCCCGTGAGGACGAAGGCCATCACCCAAGAAACCCCAAGATGCCTTCTACCTCCACCACCAGGGATTCGCGACGGAGGGTGATCTTATGGACCAACGGAGTGAAGCGAAAAGGGAGCAGCGATAAGGAGAGAGATGTCGCGGGCTTCTTGAAGAGGTCAGGCGGGTGGTGCGTGTGGGGCGGAGAGCTGCGAGGAGACGGGCAGGGAGCCCACGGGCGTCGTCTTTGTGATAGGGAGAGGCGTCACGTAGGGGAAGAACGGACGGCTTTGCGCAGGCTTTCGCCACATCCCGCCACGCTACGCTAGAAAGGCGGTTCGCTTCCTCGCCGTTAAATATAGACGCTTGGGTTTTTTAGTGAGGACGTTTTAGATATTTTATATATCTCAATTCTAATTCGTACTATTATTTAATTTATATTTTTAAAACTTTTCTAGTGTATATGCTTCCGTATAAAAGATCTTTCGGAATATTCGCAGATCTCCCTTTCATCACGTCCACCTGTACACGTGTCGTGTCCACCCATTTTGACCGTTCGTTGTTGCATCGCCCAGGGCCCCATCATATAGCGCTGATGTGACACCACCAGAAGATGGGTAGCTCCATCGTGCTTTGAGATTCGTGCATTGATTTGATTGTCAATGCGTGCCATCAAAATCACTTTCTACTGTATAAACTGGGATAATTATATTACCCTCTCTAGTTAATCATAATTAATATTTCGATATTTATATTTAAAAAAATAGTATTGAGATTCTTATACTTATCAAAAATAAAATATTTAACCCTAATTCTCTTCGTTAATTTCGTCGATTGAAAAATCACATGTGTTATCATATGTCAAAAAATATATAAATAGAAAGAATAAAAATATAATTTTTTTATCTTTTAAATTATTAATTTTACATAAACTTTTTGGCTCCTGATTGATTTTTTTCTTTTTCTCCTCTTTCCAAACTGTTCGCTTGTCACCTTTTGCATATTTCTACTTGCTCTTTGCTCGTTGCTCATCTGCTGCTTGTTTGCCCAGTGTAACTATCGCTTATCGTATTTGCTCGTCCGTCGCACCAACTTGAAATATAGTCCTCCTCAGCAAGAAAGGTTTTGCATGAAGGTTTAGAGATAGGCATGACGGGTAATCTTTTAACAAGTGTTCGATCATTGAGTTCACATGACGGGTAATCTTTTAACAAGTGTTCGATCATTGAGTTCACTTTAAGCTAAAGAGTAGCGTCTAACAAACCAAAAAGCAATCCAGAGACAAACCTGGCTTGTTCAACACACATTTAAGCTGAAAAATGAGTAATAGAATAATCTCAAAAGTGACGTTGGCTGCTTCTCTCGATTGGACTAAAGAACATGAAACATGATCCCTGTGTTAGGTATCTACTGTGAAGCAAAGGAAGATTAGCACCCTTTTATTTTTTCTGATGATTGTAGACAAACAGTATCAAAATGTTTAATTCTAAAGCAATCACGATATTTGCAGATTTCAACAAAATGTAATAGCCTGTGTGTTATTTCAGAATCATGCAAGAATGTTGTTGCAGTTTTAATGGGTCACAAGCCACCAACCATTCTTCTTTATCACAAATGCATGTGGTTACAAAGAGGTTACAAAGAGATTTCTGACAGATGAATTCAAATGCCAAGAAAGCTTCTGTCACAGCTCATACAAGTAATACTTAGTAGTATGCAAGACTTCGTGAGATTTCGAACTCACACTACACACAAAACATCAGCAAGCAAGCCGTGGGCGGAAGATCGCCCTTGCCGCCGCTAGTCGACTGCAGCGATGTCTTCTAATATGTCGCACTGTCGAAAAGCACGAACCCGAGGGCATGCCCGACGATCAGCACGTCACCATTGAATGACATGATCACGAGCATCACAAAGTGGGCTAGCCCGACGTGCAGTGTCGTTTGGGTGAGCCCCTCGTCGATGCGGCCAACTCCCGACCTTATAAGGTAGTAATGGTGGAGCCATCGAGGAGGAAGAAGAAGGCAAAGATGATAATGAGAGTGAGAGCGTATATGCCTCCCTCGGTGCTAGGCCACCTATGAAGAGGATCTCCAAATTCTTGCCCCAAAAGAAGGTCATGTGGGTGTAGTGTGACGGATGAGTGATGAATGAGAAGGTACGACAGGCGAGCAAGTGTGACGATCGAACGAGTGTGACAAGCGAGTGACGAATGATAGACAAGCGACAAGTGAACAGTTTGGAAAGAGGAGGAGAAAAAGAAATCCATCGGGACAAAAAGTTAACATAAAATTAATAATTTAAAAAATAAATAAAATTATGTTTTAATCCTTTCCATTTATATTTTTTTTTGTACCTGATAAAACATACAAATTTTCTATCAATGAATTTAACGACGTAAGAATAATTAAGATTAAATATTTCATATTGGTAAGTTTAGGAATCCTGGGTAATCTGTAATTACTCCTTTAGTACATATGGGTTAAGAAGTATTAAAAAATTACTTAATATATAGCACCATAATAAGATTCTAAAAGGATATATAATTAAGAGTGACAACCTCACGTAGATTTGAAATTTTGAAAAACAAATATAAAAATAATTGACTTTTGAGGGGATATATAAAATATATGTGCAATTTTATCAAATTAAAATATTAGAAATTAGAATTGGCATAAGGATTAAACATTCTCTGTTTTTGGGAAGGAGAAACAAACATAGGAGAATCCGAAGAATTGTCTTAAAACAAATTGTTCGGTTGCTAGGATTTTTTTTTCTACACATTATGATGGTGGACCCAATAAAGAATATTGTTGTTTTTTCTAGTTTTATTTTTCTTGGGAACAGAGAAGATTATTGAATGCCAGCTGAAATATATGAAGTAGGTTATTTAAATAATTTATGTGATTTCTCATCCAAAGATCCCTTTACTATTATAAAACATTTCGATCTAAAATTTACAATGAGTAGTCAAGATTTTACTTAACTAAGCTAATCTCAATATTTATATACCATTAACAAATAAATATCTTAAAAATATAAATTTATCGAATGATTGCTCAAACCCTCATCTTGTAAATGAGCTTACTACAACATAATCAAATTAATATTTTATTTATAAAAATTAATTTATTTTAAGCTTTCGATTTTTGGTAAGTTAGTCTACGTAGGTTTTGACACGAATTGAAATGTTTGTCGGCGCTCTCTCTCTGTCTTATAACTATTTTCTTGGCAACGAGGATATGAAAACAAAAATGAACAAACCCTGATCACTCGATAACAGAACAATACCATGAAGAGCAAACCAAAATAACAACAATCAATATCACTTGAATCGAACCAGAACCTTTCATCAACGAGATTAATGTCGAGGAGGTCTCGAGGAAGCAATTTCTTAAAAGCATAAACTCGTCCTCCTCCTTCATCGGCACCTCCTCACCAACTTTGAAACCCGCCGTCTTCAATCAAGTCATTGGGAATAAGGGGTTGGCTGCGCAGGAGAGGGAGGAGTGAAGTATTTAGGATGGTGGAGAGAGAGGAAGGAGAGGAGAGGAGAGGAGAGGAGAGGAGAGCGTGGGCAGTGATGCCTGATCTCGTTTGCGGTGGTGGAGATTCGTATTTCCACTGGGGTTCGCCTACAATCGCGCACCACCAAGAAGGCCGTGACACGTTATTTCTTTTTCAAAACATTTATATCCAACGTGCTTAAGTTGAATCGACCGACTCTAAGTCAACTCGTAACTCCATTCCAGTCAAGCTTTGTATCCGATTCAAACGTCAGGTCCAGCTCCAAATCTCAATCTGGGCCGTAGGATCACATGATCCTACGATCTTGATCACAAATTTGATGACCGCATCTAATTC